AACCACAGGAGGCCCAGGCTCGATTTGCCCGCGCCCGCCTGTGCCTTCCTTATAACGAGGGAAGGACGGAGACATTGAGACCAAAATAGCCCAGACTTGGCATATGTCACACGAAACTATCCTCGATTTTTCGCTTTTAATGCATTTCTTTCACGATTAATCGATATCCCCTGCAAGAATGATACCGTATAACTCTCAAAACAACGATGCTTTAATCAAAGAGCTTAAATTCGCTCTGAAATCCGTGAGGGAATAACAAAATTCGGCCAAAATATATCCGCGTGCCCGGTTTGCTGCGGTAATGTAGCAGCTTGAATAAGATTGTTTTCTATTGGTCAGAGTACTAATTGGGTAGCGAAGGTAGCAAACCAATAGGAAGCCAGAGATTGTCAACAATTACCTTTGAACTTCCGGTTTATTTGTAAGATATGAACTGATGAACATGCAACTGGCCAAGAAATTGAGCAAAAATATAGCTGAGAATACCCGAGACCCGAGTCTTTGTTTCTAAATTTGAATCAATGTATTAATAAATCGTTCTGTGTATGCAATGTAAGTATCATTTAATAATGAGTAGCGTAAAGATGTAAACGCACTTTTTGCGGCTTATTACAGTAAAAGCAAGTATTGTATATTTGTTTGTCACGTTGTTAAATTCGCTAAACTTCTGTGTGAATGTGATAGACTACCTGGCGTTCCCTCGAAACGTCGAAGTTTTGTCTATTTATTTTCAGGTAGGCTATCACATTCACACCAAGATTTACACAGATGTTTTATCGAAGATTCTACCAGCGGTCAAGCGTTCGAGATAAATTCGCTAATATTGCATAAAAACACGATGTAGTTTATATTATATCTATTTCACTTTATAGAATGTTTATCTACAGCTGCACCCAAGACGAAATACATTAATCCGTGTTCGTGTTGTCAGCAAGTAGTTGGATAGTTTTTTCCACCGGCACATAATTTCGTGAACAAAGACGAGACATAGGCCTATTTTAAAAACGATGTTGACAATATTATGTTGACAACATTATGTTGACAACAACATACTGTACAGTATTAATGTTGTCTTTTTATAAATTATAGTTGTACATTTGCCTTTTTATGTCAATTACAGTAAACTTTATTTCAATTTAATATCGTGTGATTTCACCACATACTTGAATCAGGTTGTTTTACATTATATGATTATACTTTGTCAGTTTATATAATTTTTAAACCGAAATCCTCACATGTATGATGTATCCTCCAGACCACACAACTCACAAGTTAAACATGTGTTAATCAGATACACATGACACCATTAGGTAGCCTTATGGAGATACCTAATAGGATATGGAAACACAGCTAGTAGCTATTGCAAAACTAAAAGGTATAAATTGTGATGAACAAAAAGAAAATATATATGTTTCTCATAGACATAGGGATGCCAGAGAGAGGGGCAAATCTGCTCTTTTCTAAGGGGGCTGAAGTGCCCTTTTAATGTAACGTGTGCACATACTAAAACCTCCAAATACAAGAGACTTCAACAGTAAATCTGATTGATTATTTTATGTTGAGACTAATATATTGCTTTAATAAGCATCATGCATGCATGCAACCACAGATGTGCCTCAAAGGGAAATTACAGTAGGCTCCCTTGTCATTTATTAATAGGGTCTCATGTCCTTTGTGTAGAAAAGTTGCAATTAAATGAGCAGAAATTTGAATTACAACAAAGTTTAAAGGCCAAATATGCATTCAATATAATATGACCAATTGCCCTTACATTTGCCGACTGCCCCTTGCCATTTGCCGACTTCCTTTTGCCCTACCACTGCTCCAACATCCCATAAATATGAATCAAATATCTAAAGGATTGGTTCAAGGTAATAACCTAACAACTAGTGATGAACCTGAATACGCATATGCACCCACAATTATCATTTTACTGCAGTCTAACACAAAACATCCTTACTTATCAGGAGTAATAATATTAGTTAATTAATGAGTAACAGAACTATCTGCCAGTGTCTTGTTAAAACCATTAATTATTTAATTGCAATTAGACTGGATTCTCATGCTTTAATATTTTACTTGGTCTTACACCAGGCAGTTTTACTCATTCAATAAATAGAGGAGTACTGGATGAGCCTGTTGCATTGGGTACTATATTGCAAGTATATGTAGGAGCTAATTGCTTTAAATATGTGTACACATATTATGCAAACATGTTCTAAATTTCATTAACCCATTAAGCGCCAGCGCTCTCCCCTTGACGA